TCCATTTATTCTCTTTTTTTTTTTTTTGAGACAGAGCCTCAAGCTGTCCCCCTGGGCAGAGTGCTGTGGCATCACAGCTCACAGCAACCTCCAACTCCTGGGCTCAAGTGAGTCTCCTGCCTCTGCCTCCCAAGTAGCTGGGACCACAGGCGCCTGCCGCAACACCTGGCTACTTTTTAGTTGCAGCTGTCATTGTTGTTTGGCGGGCCCAGGCTGGATTGGAACCTGCCACCTTAGGTGTATGTGGCTGGCACCTTAGCCACTTGAGCCACAGGCGCCGAGCCAGTCTCTCTTTTCCATTTATTCTCCTTCATTTCCAAGCTTCCCTAATAGCTGTCATAGTGAGGGAGGATAGGGCCTGGAGGATAGGGGTAGGAAAAGAATAGATGGAATGAGGGGAAGAGGAAGTTATAGTAAAAAAAAAAAAGAAGAAGAAGAAGAAAAAGTCCCCATCCTTGACGTGTGGAGGAAGGAGTCCATCACATCTCAGACCCTAGTCTCTCCTTAACCCCTAAAAAAATCTCCCTAGATCTAGACTTTCAACAAAATTTAGCTTTCTAGAAAGTGGCTGCAAGGAGACAGAAGAACTGGAGTCACGGTCTCTGAGTAGCATAACCCCCCACCAGTCTTAACTACTAGAGTTCTGGCCCCTGACCTCTCCCAGTGATTGAAGGCTTCCCTGGCAAAGGTGGTTATAACTGGGCAACAGCCAGAAAAGTGGCACCCCAGAGTGGGTGGGGAGAATCCAAGATGGAGAGGGCCAGGGCAGAGTCTCTGGCAGCCTCCCAGTAGGCCCCAGCATTTCCTAACCCTCTCATGTCCCCTGGAAAGGATCTGCTCCCTCGGGAGAAAGCCAGCAGACAGGTCTGAGCTGGCCTGCTCCTCTACAGACAGAGGAGGAACAGTGTGGGGGTGGGGCCCTGAGATCTTGGTGGTGAGTGGTGGCTATAACCCCTATGTCTCCTCTAAGGAGTCAGGGACAGAGGGGACTATGGCCTGGGCATACCCTACCAAAGCCCAGGGCCAACCCTTTGCCTCAGTTGGCCAGCCTGCTGCCACATGGATAGCCAGGGGTCTGGACCCTCAGGTGTGAAGATAGTGTCTGCCCACCCTTTCCCAAGGAGCCAACATCAGTTCTCTACTTCCCCTCCCCTGGGCTAGGCAGGTTCAGGCCAATCTTTGCAAGAGCTTCACGGCAAACATTGATCTGTAATAAAACCACAGTGTGTGTTCAGAAGAGATTCCAGACACAGAGAGATCCAGACAAAACACATACACAACCACACATATACATACAGATGCAAAACACACAGCTCTGCAAGGGCAGTGCCGGCAGGCCTGAAAACACATCTAAACAGGGACCCACACTGGGTCAGACACACAAACATCATTGGTTCTACACATCCCCTCCCTGCCATAAACTTTGTCCTTCTTTGCCAGTCTTCCCTGTGTTCTCATAGCATTTGTTCAGAGCTCTATGTAAGGGTTTCTACTTGGCATTATAATTACTCATTGGCCAGTCTGTCTTTTTGGGTATTGTGAAGATTCCTTAAGGGAAAGGATCTTGTCTTATGCAAGTGTGTATCCTCAGCATCTAGCATGCAGTCTAGTATTTAGTAGGAGTAGGTGAAGTGTTCAATAAATAATTATTGAATCGAGGAAGAAAACAAATGCACTCTGACAGTGGGACATCCATGCCTAGAATCCCTCAGAAGCCCACAGGGATAACCAGTGCATACCACTGGTGCCTCTTGCCCTGCCTTCTTGTCTCCTAGTCCCCGGAGTTCACTGCCTCTTAGCTTCCTCAAAGGCACTCCTTTCTCCCTCTCCCCTCTTTGTGAGACTATGAATTTGAGTTCCACCTGAGAGTTGGCAGGCAAGGTAAGGGTTAATGACACCTCATTAGTGTTTAATTGGAGGAAGGAAGCTGCCTTGGCACTAGACAGGTGGGCAGGCCTACCCCTTGCGGCAACCAGGCATCCCTACTTTCTGTACCCCACCAGGCATGTGGGTGATTTGGCCCTGGAGACCCTCAACACAGCCGGCACCTCCCCCACCACTAGCTTTGCCAATTTAGTCTCTAGGCAGTACAGACCAACACTTTCCATCTGTCACCAAACATCCAGAGGGAGAGCAGACTCCTTATCCTTTCTCCTTTAGATGGCTTTGCCCCGTCCATCTCCAGGAGACCCTGGAAAGTGGGAGGAGGGGTGAGGTATGGAATTGGACGACTGAGAGTCCACAGGGACAGATTCTGGGTACAGACAAGAGACAGGGCTGGAGATGTGGAGATGTCTGCTCAATTTGACCTTAAATGAAGAGAATGCAAATGAGATGCAGACGATATGCAGATAAACGCAAGGATCTCACATTGACATTCTCAGTGGCTGCAGCTCCGCACTCAGGACCCTATAGCTGTCGCCAATAACTCCCTTATAATCTTTCTGGGCTAAGGGGTGCTGACCATTACTTGGAGTGAGAAAAAAGATCTTAAGAAAATACGAGCTTGGTTGGGCGAGGGCTGAAGGACCTTGGCAGCTGAGCTCCACCTCAGCTTGCCCACCCCAACCCAAGCACCCTCCCAAGGTGCCTCGGCAGATCAGGGGAACACCACTCTCTAGGTTTTGCTGGGTTCGGACGCACCGTCGGTTGCTATGGGGACCTCTTCCTCACTTCCAGGCCTGAACCAATGGGCATCACCACTGATGACCTCATGCCCCAGGCCCCAGGATTTTTTTTGCTATTTGAAGTCAGCGTGCACCCTTTTCAATTTCGTCACCGCTGGGGATCCCCCGACTACCCTGCTAGTGTGGACAACTGAAAGAAGGGACTGCTGGGCACTTATAATGTACTGAATGAGTGAATAAGGAAAAGAAAGAAGGAAATAATAAGAGGGAAGATGAAAAAAACAAGGAGCGGGCACAGAAAAAGAACAAAACTTCAGGGTTTAGCTGGAGGGGGGATGGGCTACTTGCAGCCCCAAGAAGCATGGAGCAGGATCCGGGTCGCAGGGCTGTCAGGCGCTCAGACTGGGAGACAAGGCAAGGGAAAGTAAGAAAGACTAGGGCAGGCCTAGCTCCTTGAGAGCCCCACCCTCAGTTGCCTAGAGCCGCTGAGTTGAGGGGAGATTGGTGACGCCTCAAAACTTGCAGGCCTGCCCAGTCTTCTGGAACCACACCCGGGAAGACGCCTCGAGGATTTCTCGTGGGTAGGGCCGGGTGCCCGGAAAGTCTCCCAGCTCCTTCAGCCCGTTTCAGCCCCATGAGCGGACTCAGCCCTAGCTTTCCATAGGGACGCACCCGGCGACTAAATCAGCCGCCGGCACAGGGCCCAGGCTGTGAGGAGAGTGAGTGTAGGACAGGGCTGGCCCGAGCTCCCATGGCTGGGCAGGTCTAAGTTCAAACCACCCCCAGCCCAGCTCCCGCGGTCCCGGAGGCGTGCGCCCTCGCACCTGCAGGTGACTGGGCAGCGGGCAAGGGCGTGTGTTTGTGTCAAGTGTGCGAGTCTGACTGTGAGAGTATGTGTCTGAATGCTGGGAAAGCCGACTGGGCCCCATCTCCCTCGCACATGCGTTCTTGTCTGCGGCGGATCCGCGCGCCGGCCCCGGACGCGGGAGCGAGCGCGCCAGCCCCGGTCCGCTACGTGGGAGTGCCTGGGGCAGCAGCTAGCGGGGTGAGACCCTCACACTTCTCGGTCCGGGACGGGGGCGGCTAATCGGTAGCCCCCGCTCTGCCCCGCCCACGGCGTCACTGGGGAGGGCAGAGGCAGCAGTAAGTCGGTATCTATGGCAACATATAGACACCTTCCTGGGCGACAGTAGAGGCGGAACTCGAACCCAGGACTGTTAGACCTGGCCCGCAGCTGGGTCTTCGGCTGACTCCACCCTTCCTCCGCGCCCCAGCCCCTTGCCCCAGGTAAAGATCGAAGTTTGAGGTGGGGGCCCTGACACGAACACACGCACCCCCACAGGGACATTTTCTGAAAAGTGGCCTCGAATGGAGGGAGGGATTGACTTGAGCCTGCCCAGCCCGCAGGGCTGCCCTCCACCCCAGGCCTCAGCCAGAGTCATGGAATTAACGTGAATGGTGATGACCAAAGTCTGTGCTCAGGTGTGGGGGGGAGGGCCCCGCCCTCTCTGAAAGGGCCTCAGGTCTGATCGAGGTGCACAGGGGAGGAGGGGTTCACAAACTCCAGCACCTCCGCGTTGCGGACCCCCAGAGCCCCCACCCCCGCCCAGTGTTCACACGCTGCCTCTTGGTGCCGCAGCCAGGCCGAGCTAATCAGCACAACATCCACCTATCGATTGCTGGCTGGGTGCCAGAAGGGTGGGCACCGTGCCAGTGGAGGCTGCGGGGGCATGGGGTGGGTAGAGCACAGCTGCAGGGGAAGAGGACCCCTTACCCTGGCTCCACCCAGGACACCGTGGAGAGAGAGGGCCCGGGTTGGGGTTTGGGGGATCATAGCCTTGCCTGCCAGGGGTGGAAGTATGTGGTCTGGGAGCAAAGGGGGCCCTCCCTCCTCCGCCCCACCCCCTCCTCCTTATAAAGGCGAAGAACAAAGAGGCCGCTGGGGAAGGAGGCTTTGATCTGACCCCACCTTCTCAGTTCTAGGCCAGGCACCGCCCATAGTGTCCTTGGGGAGGAAGAGGGATGCCCAGCTCTCACAGACCCAAGCCTTCTGAAACTGAGGCACTGTCTGCTGCCCCTTGCTTTTGCCCCATTGCCCTATTTGGCGCTGCTAGGGCTTGAGCAGTGCCCCAAGCGTGGGGCTGTCAGGAGCATCTGTCCTTCTCAGCACAGGAAGCCGGCTGGGGAGGTGAGGGAGGGTGCCAAGCTCCACAGCTGCTGCTGGCACCCAAGCCACACTGCCCAGAGGGGTACCCACTGAGGTCTGGCATGGATGGCCTGGGCCCAGCTGGTATAGAGGTCAGGCCAAGCTAAGCTGAGAGCACAGGCCACAGGGAGTCCTGGTGTCAGGGAAGGAGCCAGGAGCCAGTAGGCTGGAGAGGGTAATAAAAAGATGGGTGGTTTATTGAAGGTTTGGTCTAGACACTTACAAAAATACAAATTGGCATGAAATTCTACCTTATGACAAGTCCGTCTTCATAGAAGACAAGTGAGTGACTCCCCCCGGGAGGGCAAGGTGCTGTCCCAGGGAAGAGGCCCACAGGGCACAGATGGCAGGTCTAGCAATCTACCTGTCCCTGGGTCTTCAGCCTTGGCCCCCAGATGGCTCAAGGATTTTATCCCACAAAATCCCAGTCTTTCTGGGGACGAGACCATCCAAGCAGCCTACAAAGCCCCCATCTTTGTCTTGCCTTCGCTCCAGGGTTTCCAGGGCTGTCTGTAGCTCCTCTTTAGCCTGTGATGAAGGGGCAAGCACTTGCAAGGATCACCTCAGACCTTCTGACCTCCCCCATCAATGCTCTACCTGATCTGTCTGGATTGGCACCCCCAATGCAGACGACAGGGACCCCTCCTCCTGTAGGAGATCTTGGGAAGACTCTGGCTCCTTGAGGTGGTAGGGAGGGTCCGCATGGCTTACAGAATTCGCAGGAGACGCAGAATCAGGAGCAGCAGCAACAGCAAGAGACAGAGGGGGCTGGGAGTGTCCCCTCCTTGCCACCCTGATGTACCACTCTCTCCAGGGCTCCCAACAGGATGGGCTGACTGAGACTCTGTGAGGGGGAGGGGTAGCACTGATGGCTCCTACTTCTTCAGCAGCCTCCTTCCTGCCCTTCCCCATCAATTGTTCCCCCCACCCCATCTCATTCTCCAGAGGCTCCCAAACCAGCCAGTCCCCTCCAAGGATGACCTACTGCAGTGGTTCTCAACTTTCCTAATGCCACGATGTATTTTCATTGTTACAAAGGGGTTGCGACCCACAGGTTGAGAATTGCTGACCTACTCCCTCATCCTTTCAAAGCCCCACCTTCCAAGTCTCCACAAAATTTCCACTAGAGACAACTAGCCCAGTTAAGGCTTGGAAGGGTCTACACCTGAACATCCCATTCCCTTCCCCCGGATTAAAAAGGAGTTCAGGCTCAGCACCCATAGCTCAGTAGTTAGGGCGCTGGCCACATACACTGGGGCGGTGGGTTCCAACCCGGCCTGGGCCTGCTAAACTACAATGACAACTACAACAAAAAAATAGCCAGGTGTTGTGACGGTGCCTATAGTCCCAGCTACTTGAGAGGGTGAGGCAAGATAATCACGTAAGCCCAAGAATTTAAGGTTGCTGTGAGCTGTCACACCATGGCACTCTACCGAGGGTGACATAGTAAGACTCTGTTTCAAAAAATATAAAATAAAAAGGAGTACAGTGAAAGCACCCATCAAGTCAAATGGGGAATAGGCCCCCCTGGACCCCTCAGAGCCTGATGCTTCCAGATTCTCCACTTTTCCTCCCTCCTTCCTAAAAGTGCCACACTAGCCAGAGAGCCACTCCCCTACCCTAAACCACTTACTGCTCTCCTTGCAGCAGACAGACACCTGGAGCCTCAAGCACTGGCCAGGACTCTCTGGAGTTGGCACCGCTGGGTGGTAGGAAATTGGGAGGAAGAAAGTTAGCACAGGAGTGACCCCTTTGTTCCTTGGACCCTGTTCAGACCCTCCCAGCTTCTCTCTGTAAAGCTCTTCCTTACTTTGGGACCACATCCATGTACTAGTCCCATCCGTGCTCCCCTCTCTTCTTCCTAGCCTCCTGTCCTTGTCCTCCCTCTCTACAGTCACTCAAGCTGTTCCCCTCCTCAGTCCTGGGCACAACCCCATCCCCCTCACAAGCCTCTCCTTGCCCTTCATGTCAGGCTCTGTGCCTTGACCGGTGGCAATGGCAGGGAATCCCATCCCTCCCCAACTTCCTCAGAAGTGCCCAGCGTGTTCGTATCACTCACAGATGTAGTAGTATGTCTCTCCAGGCAGGAACTCGAAGCCAAGGGAGAAGGGTGTGAAGCGCTGAATCTTCTCTGAGAACTGAACGTGGGTGAAGGGCAGGGAGCACACCCAGCGCTTGAAGGCACCTGGCCCCTCTGCCTGGCAGACCTCATAGCCTGGCCGGTCCACCATGTATAAAGTAAATGTCTCAGGCCCCTCAGGGGGGCCTGGGCCTTCATAGTGGGGGCAGAAAATGTCTAGGTAATCATTGAGGCCCAGCTCCAACACAGCATCTCCTTGCAGTAGCCTGTGGGCATAAGGCAGGGGTAGGCTTAGCACAGCTGGGCGGGGGGTGGGGGGGGTCAGAGATACCCGTTCCCAGGAAGGCCTGAGTTCCCCAGACTGACAGCTTCTGAGAGACAGATTGTAAGAGATGATGAATTCAAGGTTCAGAGAGGTTCAGGGGCTGCGGTGCCCATGACCAGGTGGATTAGATGAGAGAAGGCTGGGCTCCACCTTTCAGGCTGGAGCCACCACATACCTCACTAGATCAAGGGCCCAACACTGGGTGTGGTGCGGCACCAGGACTGGTAAGTGTCAGATGATTGGATGCTGTGAAGAGGCTCAGAGAGGCAGGGTCACAGAGAGGGCCTATAGTGAGTTACAGACACAGAGATAGAGATGCGACTGGGAACAGTATCCTCAATAACAGACACACAGAGAGGAAGACTACCTTGTAGCCCTCAGTCCAACAGTGAAAACAATGCCATGGTAAAATACTAATAACAATACTCATGAGGGAGTAGGTACTGGCTGCCTCCCTTTTTTGGCCAGGACAAGGCAGTGCCAGGCATGGGGGTAGGTCCAAAACCTATCCAGTCTTCAGCCTTCTCAGGAATCTCTTCCCCCCTTCTTGGGAGCTGCCAGCACAGGGAGGAAGGGCTATAACAGGCTGCCTCCACAGTCTACAGACTTTATGAACCATTCCCCCCACCATACACATAACAAAGCTTGACCTATGAAAGGCCTCTAGTTGTCCCTTAATGGGTGGTCAAAGCACCAACTCTATCATCAGGAGTTCTGATTAGAAATGAAGATTCCTGGAATCCTACCACTTTGGGAGGCCAAGATGAGAGGATCACTTGAGGCCAGGAGTTTGAGACCAGCCTTAGCAACAAAGTGAGACCTTATCTCTACAAAATATAGAAAAATTAACTGCCACGTTAATGCATGCCTGTAGTCCCAGCTGCTCAGGAGACTGAGGCAGGAGGATCACTTGAGCCTAGAAGTCTGAGGTTGCTATGAGCTGTGATGATGCCACTGTGCTCTAACCAGGGCAACAGAGCAAGACCCTGTCTTAAAAAACAAACAAACCCAATCCCCCCCCCCCACACAAACATTCCTGGGCTGAGCCTAGACCTACTAGATACACAAGCTGAGTAAGGACAGGATCTTTGTAAATTTTGTTCTACTGCATCCTCAGTGCCTGGAAAAGAGTGCCCAGCACAAGACAGCACTCAATAAATATTTGTGGAATGAATGAATGAATCATAAACCTCAGGGTTGGGGGCTAGGAACCTGAATTTTTAACAGGTCCTCCAAGTGATTCAGAGGCATTGGTCTGTAACAGAGGTGTAGGAATTCAGAGCACAAGGACAATAGCTGTTATCACTCAGTATTGGTATTGTAATGACCTGTCTTTATGTCGGTTGTTCCAGAGTCAGTGAGCTCCCAGAGGGCAGTCTTGGTCTTCTGTCTCTAATCCCCAGCAGCCTAGCGCAGGATGGGGCACATAGTATGTACTTAATCAATGTAAATAAGTGAAAAACTGAACAGAGCCACACACTGTCTTAGGTAGAAAATCAGAACGGAACACAAGTGGGAAACAGAAGAGAGGCAGGGAGATTTGGGGAGGAGGATGGAAACAGATTCAGAGGTAGGCAGTTTAGGAGAGAGAAATAATAGTTCTATCTACACAGCCTGCACCTCTTTCACATACCTTAGTTAGCCCGCCTGGCTTTCCAGGGTGCTGGACGTTATTAGCCCATTTTACAGATGAGGTTAGGGAGGTCATACGACTTGCCCAAAGGTGATTCGGCTAGAAGGGCAGGGTCGGGACAGAAATAGAAGGACCAGTAAAGACCGAGATGAAAGCAGAGATAGCGAATGAGACCAGGTGACAGAGTGAGAACCAGAGGGGAGGCCCAGAGAGCAGGACAGTAACCCACAAAAGCCCCTCCTGTATTCTCCAGTAGCCTGCCTGGGCTCTGGCCGGCGGGAAGCCCGGGAGCACCAGGAGAGAAGGCAGGGGGCGGAGCCGGGGCACTGGCAGATGCCCCCCAGCTCCACGCTCCAAGAACCCACAGTCAGCCTTCGGGGCTAGGGAACTCCGTCCACCCCCCAACACGTGCAGGCTAGGGGTAGACCGGGGCGCGCCTCGCCCCTCCCCCCTCCCCCGCCGGCTCAAACAAAGGAGTCCCGGCGCGCCGCTGAGCTCAGGCGGCGCCGTGCAAAAAGCGAGTGGCGGGCACGCGCACAGGCCGGGAGCGCGCAAACCCAGCTTAGAGCTTGTCCGGTTCGGCCTGGCTACCTGGGGTTACTGGAGTTCCAGTAGACGACGTGGCGAAGGCTGGAGCCCCCGCGCAGAGGGGAGCCGAGAAACGCGGCCCAGAAGACAGTTTGCAGGAGGGGCAGTAGCCGCATCGCCCCTAGGGTCCAGTCTGGTCTGGCCCTACTGGTCCCGGCCCGCTCCACAGTCCGGGATGGAGAAGTACAAAGTGAGGAAGGGGGCTGCGGGAGAGGGGTGGGGGTGCGGAGACTCAAAGGCCCCGCCCCTGGATAACTTTGCACCAATGGGAGCGCGTCTCCTCTTTCCATTCAGAGCCGACCGCGATTAACCCCTTGTGCACCGGAGCGAGCCATGCCAGCGAAGTGGCGAGGGGGTAGGGAGGAAAGAGATACTCCACTAAGAGTATTTTCAGGGAGGTCGTGTGTTTTGTGTCTGTCTGAGTGCGGGAAGAAAGTCTTATTAGAAATTTCGCAGATTTTAAATAGGGCCACACAACCTTTGCCCAGATAGGGAGTGCAAAACCTGTCCAGCCACCTTCATACATTACCCCCTTTTCTTTGCACATCTAGAGATAGTACGAGGGGAAGGAACAGAGCACCTTCTGGAACAACTCTCTTCCCTCCCTTAGGTAGCGTGCTAGATGCCTCGTCTGGGGTTGGCGTCTGTCCCTTTCTGCCCCACTCCTTCATTTGGGGCTGGGGTCCCACGCGGCCCCAGTCCTGAAGTTGAATGACGCGTTTGCGGCAGTACAAAGAGCCTTTGTTCCAGAGTTTTCAGGTGGGGTCGGGGAGGGGGAGAAGGGAGGTACGCGGCCTTGGGATCCCGGGGGAGCCGCCATCCCACTCGGTCCTGCCTCCAGGACTCTGAGAACATCAGCCAGATATATTTTTCCAAGCCACTGGTCAGCGGGTGGAGATGGCGGCTGGTCCGACAGCTCGGCCGGTTTTGTAGATGGCTGTCCCTGGGAGCCGCGCGGCGGGACTCGAAAACTGGGTGTAGCTACGAGTGTACAATTCCCGGTGATACAGGATTGCACTGAAAGCATTCCCATCTGGGCAGAAACCAGCCGCGAGCATCCCTGGGACGCGCGCTGACCTACACTGGGCCTCCCACCGCGTCCGAGGCGGCAGCACCTCCTGGTGGCCAGATCTGGGACTGCAGCAGGACGACTCAGCCTCCAACAGCAAACTCCGAGGCGCACTCCCAAGACCGCACGTTTATTGCATCTGAGCAGAGACAGGCTGTGCTCACCTCCCTCGACCCTGTCGAGTCCCTAGCCCCTCACCCAAACTCCCTGCAACGATGTGGGCAGGTCCCCAGAATGCTGCTTGATTCCTGGTGTCCTAAGACACCTGTTCCGCTGTGTCCAGGTTCAGCTCCTTCAGTCAAAGTAGGGTAGTCCAGGGGGCAAGACCAGTTTGGAGGCCTCAGGAAAGGTCAGAGGTAGAGCGAGAAAGCTGCTGGGGGTGGTGGCGCCGGTCTGGAGTACAAGAAGCCGAGAATAAAGGTCAGAGATCCCCTTGCCCCAGATCACTCATCCTGCCCACCTATCTGTAGCCCTCCTCCTCACCTACCTGGAAGGTGCCACTAGGGGCGGGGTTCCAGCACCTGCACCAGGCAGGTTACCCGATGGGCTCCGACCCTGGGGGTCGGCAGGCAGTGGTTTCCTCGGGGGTGGGGGCTTGGAAGGCCCCTGAGACTGAGGGAGAGAAGGCAGGAGGTCAGCTTGGGTATGGGGGGGGTGTCATATCGCCCATCCCCACTGCACTGGTGCTGGGGGGACACCACCTTGAGGGTAGCACCTGAGGTCACTCTTGTCTGCAAACAAACCTGTCACCATTAAAGGCACCACTGGGATATGTGCCGTCTGGCACTGAGGGGCCATCTTGCCACGGACAGCAGCATCACAGCCCTAAGTGGGAGGAGAGGCCGTGCCCTTCTCTCCCCGCACTGTTACCTTTGGGCTCCTCACCACCGGGTCAGCGGGCAGAGGGCGAGTGGGGGGATTGGGCCGGTCAGCGAGCTCAGCCTGAACAGAGAGAGGGGCAGTGGCTATGAGAGCACAGCCAGGGGCAGTGGGCATGCAGAAGCACTCCCGATGGATTCAGGTCAACATGCAGAGTCAGCCAGGGGACAGGAGAGAATGGGGGCATGCGCGCGGAGGCGGGGGCATGCCAGCAGATGCCTCGCGGGGGGAAGGTGTGGGTCAGGCCGAGTCCCTGGCCGGCTGCAGTCCCGCCACGGACCACCAGATGGTGGTAGAAACCAAGGCAGGAGGCTCACCCTTTGCTGCTTCTGGGGCTCAGAGTGTCTGAAGGCTGAGGGGCACCCTGGTCACCTAATGAAGAGCACCACTGACAGGAAGCAGGGATGAGAACTGCAATTGGGCACCAAGCCTCCCACCTACCCTGGGCCAGGGCAGGAACTGGCCCAGATTTACCTGGAGTCTTTTAGGCACAGGGTCAGGTGGCAACGGCCTGGAAGGGGGGGCCGGGAAGCCGAGAACAGTAGCCTGCTGAAAGAGCAGGAGGAGCAGACAGGCACAGGGCAGGCAAAGGGAAGCAGGGAGACAGATGTGGGCAGAGTAGGGTTAGTACCCAGGGAAGATAGTCAGGGCCCCAGGGGCTGGAGTGCTGTGCACGCAGTTATTCAGCTGCATGTAGAGGGGTAACAAGTGGGGGGTGTGCAGACCACCTCCATACACACACTCCTGTAGTCAGACCCACAGGGCTCAGGGAAGGGACACTCACCAGCCCTCTACACGTGGTGACCAGGCCTCACAAGGTTCTGGCACATTGAAGGAAATACTGAGCACCTCCCCCCTTGCACCCGTCAAGGATCATTGCTGAGGGCACAGATAGACCCACCACTCAAAGTCACCAGCATGGCCGAATGAAAAAGCTCAGCAGGGCCTTCTCTAGTAGACTTTCCTCCCCACTGCAGTCTGCACTTTACTTCTCTGCCCATAGCCAGGGGAGGGTTGGAGGACAGAAGGCTAGCCCTGGTTCCTCTGACAGGCCCTGGGGGCATGCTGGTCTTTCTGAGTCTAGAGCCTTCACTGTCCACCCTCAGGGCCTAAGCTGGGTGCTAGGCCAAGGTGGGCCCCCTCTTCTCTGGCATGCAGGACTCACCTTCCTGCCTGGCATCAGCAGGGCCCTCTGTTGGGGTCCTGGCCGTTCAGGGTTATCAGATTGGGTTGCCCTGAGCATCAGGAAAGGCAAAGAGGAAGAGAGCCCAGCCTCAGACTCTGTTCTCCAACCTTAACCATCCTTGAGTGGGGCTGACCCTTGCAGCCCCTTAGAGAGGAGCCTATATACAGTTTAGGTCAAATCAGGTGGGGGGCACTTGAGCAGCCTGAAGGAAGGCCCCACTTATCCAGCACAGGGGTTCCTGGGGAGAAATGGCCCTAACATCCCAGTTCTACCCGGGGGGGATCAACATACAAGGTGAAGGGTTATGGAGTGTATGTAGGGAAGGGAGGTGTGTGGGGTGTGGCAGTCAGCAAGCTTAGGGTTCAAGGGGCTCAGGGCTTAGAACCAGTGGCAGGGGCTACAGAGGTTACAGCAGCCTTCAGAACTAAAGGAATTGGTAATAGGGAGATGATGCTCATACCTGTATTGGCAGTTGGATCCCTTGAGCTGGCATAGTCGCTGGTGTAGGCGGGTACGGTACCAATAGCTGGCACCAAGCAGCACCAGGACCAGTAACAACAGGAGGCTGAGGAGCAGCCCTGTGGTCAGGGAGCTGGTTGCTGTAGAGTGAGGTCCGTTTAAAGGGGGGCAGGGCTAAGAGCTCTATACCCATGAAGGAACAGGGGGCAGGGAGTGAAGCCCAGTGAGCAGAGTAAGTAAAGGAGTCAGAAAAAGAGGGCTGAAATGGAAAGGTAAGAAACGAGCTACTCTGTCCACCCCGAGCTGCCCCTGTCCCCACCCCATGCTACCTCTGAGCTGGGTGCTGCAGTCAGGTGGTGCCCAGCCCTCCTCACAGTGGCACTTCCTATTGCTATCACAGACCTAGGAAGGACAAGGTAAGCAATGAGGGGCTCTGTACTCATGAGGCCATTGTGGGAGGATCATTACTTGAGCCCAAGAGTTCAAGACCAGCTTTGGCAACATAGTAAGGTCTCAAAAAAAAAAAAAAAAGGCAAATAAAAAAAGAAGGGCTTGGCACTTTGGAACTACTTCTCCCCCTCTAGCTTTTTAAGAGCTCAGATTTCCACAATGGGTAGAGAACCAGAGCCCTGGAGAAAGAAAGTCTTCCAAGCCAAAGGAAGGTAGATCAAACTAGCACTTACTGAGGGCCTGTTATATGCTGGCACTGTGCTGGGAGCTTTCATACTCATCTCATGCACCCCAGGAAGTGGGTCCTACTCTGTCCCTTGGATAATGAGGAAACTGAGCCCAGGGAGGTTAATAGCCTGGCCCAGGTCACACAACTAGGATGTACAGCAGGGATTAGAACAAAGGTAGGTCTGTTTCCAAAGTCCATCACCCTGTTTATCCCTGGGGCTCTCCACTCCCCTTCTATTGCCTTCATCCCAGCTCACCCCATGCCCATGGCATTTGCTTCGACATTCCTGTGCTCCCAGGAGATCCACTGGTTGACATTGATGGGCGATACATATCTGCACCATGGGGAGAGAAGAGTGAAGGTTATATTCCCATAAAGCTTTGCTGTGACTAGGAGGCCAAGAAAGCTGAGGCCACATCCTGCTAGTACAGATGGGGAAACCAAGGCTCTATGGGATGGCAGGGCTTTGCTCTATCTGAAGTAGGGATATAACTCCCTCAGTCTGTGCCTATTACATTCTTGGATGGTCCAGATGTCCCTTGCCCACCCAAACTGCTCACCAGGCCAGGGCCACAGGATGTGCCAGGCAGAGTCAGGAGGGGCTGGGCCACGTCGTTGCCCAGGTCCACGTGCACCCAGCTGCAATTCAGCTGGGTCCCATTCACTTCCAATGTCTCCTGGAGCAGATCCCGGGCTAAGCCCAGCAGAGGCTGAACTCTACCCCCCTGGCACTGGAGCTGCCCACAAATGGCATCTCTAAGGGGAAGGGGAAAGGGCACGCAGTCAGTGGGAGCAGGGCCAAAGCTCCCACTAACCTGGAGGAGGAGCTAAGTCTCTTCACTTACCTAGGGGCGCAGGGCACATAGCTGCCATTGCTGCTGCGCCCACAGTTCCCAAAGGCATTCCCCCGAGTGTTGGCTGTATGGAGGCAAATGGGAATGGCAGGCTGGGCCCCAGGTCCCCAAAGTGATTGGCATTGCTGAGTATAGGAGGCACAACGCCCGTGCATGCATACAGCCTGTCCACCAGCGCAGGGTTCGCCATCTCCTAAGCTGACATCGGGGGGACACTGGGAGCTATTTCCAGGGCAGAACTCCGGCAAGTCACAGTCGCCTCTGGTAGGGCGGCACTGCCAGCCAGCAGGGCGCAGCTGTGGAGGATGGGCAAGTGTCAGAGTGGATGCTGGGCAAATTCAGCCAGGCCCGAGAATCAGAATGACCCCTTCCACCTTGGCCTCTGGCAGATGAGCTCTGAGTGGCCAGTCTAGACTGTGCCTACCTGGCAATTTTTTTTTTTTTTTTTTTTGAGACAGAGCCTCAAGCTGTCCCCCTGGGTAGAGTGCCGTGGCATTACAGCTCACAGCAACCTCCAACTCCTGGGCTCAAGCGAGTCTCCTGCCTCCGCCTCCCAAGTAGCTGGGACCACAGGTGCCCGCCACAACGCCCGGCTATTTTTTGGTTGCAGCCATCATTGTTGTTTGGCGGGTCCGGGCTGGGGATTCGAACCCGCCACCTTAGGTGTACGTGGCTGGCGCCTTAGCCGGTTGAGCTATAGGCGCCGAGCCCCTACCTGGCAATTTTGACAACAGGGTCCATCAGATGCACACTGTGCCCCTGGCTTCAGCTGGCAGGTGACATAATCACAGCAAGGATCAGTGCAGTCCTACAGGCAAGGGCATCAGAGAAGCCTCTGAGACTGCCTCTAGCCAACCCCTCCTCTCTAAGGACAAACCGAGGATGCCCAAAGCCACAAAGAAAGTAGGAGCTAGAGCCCAATAACCCATGTGCTTTCTGCACACAGGGATGTTGGGGTAGGGAAGGGCTAATGAGCCAAAGGGAGTGGGGCAAGGCTTGGGGCATGGGGCTCACATCTGGGAAGCCACAGTCACACTGTTCACCAGGCTCCACAAGCATATTTCCGCAGAAAGTGGCCAGGGGGGGCAGGCTGGGTAGCTGCTCAAAGAGGCAGCTGCCCATGCCATCCAGGAGGGCTTTCTCCAGGGCCTGTCGGCTACAGTTGCTGAAATTCAGGCCTTGCAGGAAGCTGTGGAAGGTGGCAAGGAAGGTTGGTGCTGTGGATCTTGCCCCGTCCTATCCCTTATCTATGTCCTGCAGTAACTTACTCTGTGGAGGCCTCCATGATGCAGCTCTTGGCTGGGGCTGGACCCGGACAGGGGCAGCTGTTTCCAGGTGAATCGTGGTCCAGGCCTAGGCTGTGACCCAACTCATGGGCTATAGAGGAGGTGACTCCCAGAATGCTTGTAGAGTAGTCCTGTTATTGGGGAGAAGTACCCTTGATCCAGCCCCAGCTCAGCCTGCCTCTACCACGATGCCTAGCCCATTCTGTCTGGCTTCTTAGGCACACAATAGGAAATGCTTCCCTCCTTAATTGCTTCTAAAGTAGAAAAGCCCAGGCCTGGGTGGCGGGAAACCTGGGTGCTAGCTTAGCTCTGTTCCCCTCTCTTGCTGAGTAACTATAGGAGATCACTTCTATTTTGGGGCCTCAGTTACCCCATTACCTTCCTCCAAGGAATGGAAGACTGCATAGGTGGGGACTGTGTACATGGTAAAGAGCCAGCTGCCCCCACACCCACAGCTTTGGGGATAGGCAACTTTGTGGGGGTGTTTCAGTGAGTAAGTAGTACCACACTTATAAGAAACTGAATTGGGAATGGGGAGGAGACCTGTAAATATCTTACCATGTTCACACCTCCTGAGAATTCAGGAGAACACATGGAGTTCTGAATGGCCATGCCTACCATAGGCCCATTGAACGAAGTATCGCTGTGGGATTAAGAGGTCAAAGGTGAGGGCTGAAAGCTGTAGTGATCAGAGCTTAAGGGCCTGAGATAGGGAGTTGAAGGAGGGTGTGTGAATTAGGCCAGGACAGGGTAGAGTAGAGTCAGGCCCCTCTGGCTGGGCCTGGGGGTCTTACGTCACCAGCTGGGCATTGTCATGGGGCAGTCGAGGTAGCAGATCTGTCTGGCGCCAGTGGAGGAAGTTATCCAACGTGACAGCTGGGTCTGGACTTATCTCCACCAGGTCACGATGGATCCAGGCTTCTAGGCCCACAAGGGCTATTCGTACATTCAGGGGCCGGAAGAACTGAAAAAGAGCTGGGGCTCAGAAAAGGGGCTGCCATGGTCAGGGGGCGAGGGTTGCTGCCCTGTCTAATACTCACTGTGTCCAGCAGGAGAGCCACTTCCAGTGTGCGGTTCAATAGGGACTGGAAATCTGGGTACCTCTGGACCTGTGGGCCAAGAGAGATGACTGTGAAAGATGGCAGGGTGGGTGGGGGTGGGGAAGGTGTGCAGGGGCCAGCAGGCTCACCTCTGAATGGTCAGCCACAATCACCAACTCAATAATCTTGGTCTCTGTTACCACATCCCGCCTCCACTATGGACAAGATGGAAGAGTATAAGGCAAACTGCCGCTCATGGCCAGCAGCCACATAGGGCTGACCAAGATGCACCCACTCCTATCTGTGTGGTCAGACAGAGGAGGGTGGAGAGCCATTTTACAGGTGAATTACTGAGGGCCAGAGAGGCCAGAAACTTCCCAGATACCACCAGGAAGTATGGTCTACTCCCAGTGTGAAGCCAGGAGTAGACTCCCACTTTTCTGTCTCCAAACTCATTGCTTTTTCCAAATTTTAAAAAATAATGATCGTAAAAAATCAACAATAACCAATACTCTCAAAAATGTGCCCAGCACAGTTCTAGGATATATATATACATATATATATTTTCATTCATTTAATTTTTCCCAGAAACTCTATAAAGCAAGTGGCTTTATTATCTCCATTTAAAAAATTGAGCCTGTAGCTGAGCGGCTAGGGTGCCAGCCACATACAATGAGGCTGGTGGGTTCAAATCCAGCCTGGGCCTGCCAAACAATAATAACAACTACAACCAAAAAATAGATGAGCACTGTGGTGGGCACCTGTAGTCCCAGCTACTCAGGAGGCTGAGGCAAGAGGATTGCTTAAGACCAAGAGTTCGAGGTTTCTGTGAGCTGTGATGACATGGCACTCTATCTAGGGTGACAGCTTGAAACTTTGTCTCAAAAAAAAATACATAAAATAAAAATTAGGAAATTTAGTTTTTATTGCTCTATGATTGGTAACTTCATTACCTGTAACCAAGTGAGAATTCTCTGCAGAAGGGATCCTAAGACAGATGAAGAGTGTGAGCCAAATACCTGCTCTCAACCCTGGATATGCCATTTATTAGTTGTATGGCCTTGGGCAAGTCACCTAACCTCTCAGAACTGGTTTCCTCATTTTAAAATAAAGTTACTGATAGCATCTACCTTCCAGGGTTGCTGGGAAGGGTAAGGGAGAGAATATCACAAAGTTGACCATGGAAATTGCCTTATTAGCAGGAGCTGTTGTTATTGTCAACACATAGCTCTGAGGGCCCTCCTCCCTTTGCTCTGTACCCTGTGAATGTGGCGTTGTCCCTCTGGTGGAGCCTGAGTGGGCACAGATGCACGCCTGCTTAGGGTACAGCTGTGGCCTGGCAGGAAGAGGTCTTGGATCCGGGTGATAATGGGAGAACCCTGAAGGTTTCCAGGCCCGAGCTCCAGAGTATAGCTTCTTTCTGGAGACAAGACCACTAAGCCCCTAAGGAAAGAGAAAGGTAGTCAGAGAACATTTTGCTCCATGCCTGGTATCCCCTCACTCTTTCCACCATCATGGAATCTACCCACTATACCTGAGCCCAGAGCAGGTACAAATGGACACCCAAGACTCTGCATGGCCCCGCACTCCTCCCTGGTAGCAGCAGTTCTCCTGTAGCAGAGAAACATAGTGCTATCCCAAGTGGTAGGCAGGATCTGAACCCAGCAATCTACCTTGTTGGTAAAGATATGCAGTGTCCTCCTCCCACATCTTCCAAGGCTGACACCCCCAGATGGCCCCTTCCTCTTTCCCCTAGGCAAGAATCTGGACACAAGAGGGCCCAACTCACCAGAGTGTATCCCTCACTGACCACCCGAGTACCATTGGGCTGGTACCACACCAGGGTTGGGCGTCCTAGGACCGATTCCCTGTGGAATGAAGAAAAAGGAGGGTGGTATTAAGTCACCTCCCAAGTTGGCATAATAGCAAGTTGAGGCCTGGAGGTGATGGGGGCGCTGGGGATCAGGCACCCCCAGACACACTTTCCTACTTTCCTGTGAGGCAGCAGTGAATAGCAGTTGGGCCCCTGACTCTGTCAGGCTATCGGGGTTCTAACCTGGCTTTCACCGTACTAGCTGTGTGACCTTGACCAATATCTTCATATTGTACCTCAATATCTTCATAGGTAAAATGAGGACAACAATACATATTGTATCGGCTCAGTGGCTAGGGTGCCAGAGCTGGTGGGTTTGAATCCAGCCTGGGCCTGCCAAACAACAATGACAACTACAACCAAAAAGTAGCTGGGCATTGTGGCAGGTGCCTGTAGTCTCAGCTGTTTGGGAGGCTGAGGCAAGAGAATTGCTTAAGCCCAGGAGTTTGAGGTTGCTGTGAGCTGCAATGCCACGGCACTCTACCCAGGGCGACAGCTTGAGACTGTCTCAAAAAAAACAAAACAAAAACAAAACCATATTGTATGAGGTTGTTATGAGGATTAAATGAGCGCAAGCACTTAGTACCCAGCACATAGTAAATGCCATCCAAGCTGCCATGTGACTATTATTACAACCATCACTGTTACCTATTCTGCAGCAGCTCCAGGATATGACTCTCACCATCCAGCTCCAGTATGATCCTTAGGGACTCAGGCAGACTTGTCTGTGGGCATCAGAGGGCATGTCATTTCCCTAGACATGCCTGCAACTCCTACCCTAACTAGCTGGAAAACAGACCCTCAGGAGAGCACCAACAATTAGATTACATTAGATTACGGGTGGGGGCCTCCCAAGGGAGGGGCCAGGAAGCCCTGCCTGGCCTGGGGCATTGTTCTGAGGGGTTATGTGAGGAGGTCAGGGAAGGTATCTGAGCTGCCCTCCTCCTCGGCTTCCTGCCTCTAGAGGAAGCATCAGAGAGGACCCAGAGTAGGCCTCAGCCCTTCCTCTGACTCAGCTTTAGAGTGGGGGGTGTGAGGCCCCCACCCTTTCCCACTCCCCTCACTGAGAAAACTGCCAACTTGAGATGAAGAAAGAAAGTTGGTTTCAGAATTTCCTCTGTGGAGATGGATGGGTTGGGTGAGGCTGAGGCAGACAGATGTGTACGGAGGCAGAGGGAGGTAAGTAAGGTCAGGTTGCTGGGGTGTGGTGGGAGAGGCCCCCCACAGCAAGGCCTCTTCACCAGTTCCTTGGCCAGGGTTGGCCTTTAGACACTTGATTATGTTGGGGGGATGGTGGGTGTATGTATTTATTGGGGGGTGAGAAGCTCACCTGAAGCATCTCTGGTAGACTAATCAGAAGGTTGTCCTGGAGGACCTGGGGCTCCAAGGTGCCACTCAGGGCTCTCTCTGACCTTGTCTGCTGCCTCTCAGTGCCACCTGCAGGGTCCCAGGACACCCCAAGATAGTGCTGAGTGAATGGATAGCAGACCCACCAGCTCCCAGCACATCCAGGCTTAGGTGCATGCTGGGACTGAAAGGAGAATACTGGAGGGAAGAGGCTTCTCTCCAATGTGTGGCTTTCCCGCACCAACCTATCCATAAGTCCCCAGAGAAAGAAGTTCAGCTCACCCAACCTGTGGTGCCTCCTTGTCCTCCTCCAGCCAATCCCAGTTTCTGACAGGGACTCTCCCCTATTCCCACTCCCTCCCAAACACTCCCCCTCCCAGAATGTCCTTTTAGCTCAAGGCTGAGCTAAACCTTGTGGCCAAGTGCCCACTCACCCTCCCCTTCCCCCGCAACCGAGATGCCAGGAACGCCCATTTCTGGGCGAGCAGTGCAAACACCCCCACCTCTCTAAAACCCCTCACGCCCAGCCAGGCACACCCGCTCCCCACAGCCTCCACTTCCCACACACAATGGCCCTCTCTCCTCTGGATACTCCACCCGCGCCTGCCTTTCTCGGCCCTCAGCCTGAGACAGCAGCGGGAAGTGAAAGTTCCAAGGAGGAGCTGCTGTCCCAGCTTCTTTCCAGGCCAATTCTCCCTTCTCTTGGCTCCTCCCGCCTGCCTGGCCAGGCTTCTGGTGGCAGTACCACTAGGGGAAGGTGCCTGGCTGCCTACGCCTGGGATAAGGAGAGAGAGCAGGGGCTAGAAAGAGTCCTTGTCACTAAACCCTTTAAGAGGTGCCCACTGGCGCACTGGCACCGGGTGGAACGGTCAGCTAGGCCCCAGAGGAGTGAAGACATCACTCTTAGGGACCAGCGACCCTCTTTCTATGATCCTCAGGGGGTGCTGGACAGGGCCTCGGTCCCTGGTCCTTGAGCCTGTGTCTGCAGGGACCACACAGAGGACGGGCAGGACAGGGATGAGGGGCACCGGCATCTCTCCTCTTTCTCCCCGCCATCGCCAAGTCACCGGACCTTAGGCCCAGGACAGCAGACCAGGGTGGGCCGCGCTCTTGCTGGGCTCTTCCAGAGACTCCGGTCGACCCCAATACCCCAGTGCCTTAGTGCCTTCCGACTTCCCTGCACAATCTCCCAGTCCGCCTCTTGGCCCACTGCAGGCTAAGTACTCACCTATACTTGGGAACAGCCAGGTGGGCAGAGGGCTGCCCGCGCCCAGGAGTCCCAGGGCCCACAGCAGCGCCAGCCGCATGGCAGCAGCGCCCTGGGCCGGGCGAGGACAGCAGGTGCGGGACCGCTGGCGGAGGAGCCGCCCGCGGCCGGGTCGGCTTGGAGCACCAGGTTGCGCGGCGCAGCCTCCAGGCTCCGTCCCGCCCCTTCTCACCCGGCCTCGAACCAGACCCCGCCCCAGAGGGACCTGCCCTCCTCGAGGCTCCGCCCCCGCCGCGCGCCTTTTCCTACAGAAGACGCAACCCACCCGCGACGCCCGCCCCGCCCGCGTTCCCCCTCCAAGGCTAGAGTCAGCCTTCGCCTCCGCCTCGGCTCCGCCCTCTGAGAAGCCCCGCCCCCCGTACGCCCGGCCCTCAGAAGACTAAACCTGTCGAACGCCTGCTCTGCCGGCTCTACCGGCTCCCTTCTTTTCGTCAGCGTGCACTCTGTAGAGCAGGGTAGGAGTAGGGGCCGGTCCGACCGGCGTCAGCGTCGTGCTTTCATCTGGCCCCGGGTCTGGACCCCTCCCTAGTGGCTTCTCTGTTTTCCCACCTGATGTCCGCGGCGAGCCAGCGTTCCCGACCACAGGCCCACAGCTCCAGACGCACTTCGGTCCCCGACCCATGCAGGGCGCTCAGCAGCAGCGCACAGGGAGTTTTATTAAAGAGAACGAGCGGGGCGGGAGCGTGAGCCCGGTGCCCCTTCACTCGGCGTAGGTGGTGTCGTCGTTGCTGTCACTGAAGGCGGAAGAAGAGAGCTCCTCGCGGGGTGTGCAGGCCGGGCAGCGCTGCAGCATATCGTCCCAACACGACGAGCAGTACACTGCCCCGCAGTCCGGTGTCTCGCACTTGCGGGACTCGGGCGTCTGGGGATCCAGGCATACTACGCAGCGCGGGCGCAGCCAGGGCCTCAGCAGTGGGCAGTGGCGGTGCAGAACGTCCACCAGCGGGGGGCGCTGTGGGGCGAAAGAGGGACTGGGGGCTGGACAGAGCTCCCTGCCCGAAATCTAGGGTCTTTGGCGACGCCCACGTGGACAAGGCTGCGTGGTTAAGAAGACCCCCGAGGAGGCTTGAGGCAGGTGGATAGACTGAACTCACAGGTTCGAGACCAGCCTGAGCTAAAGCGAAACCCCCCGCCATAGCCAGGCTTTGTGGCGGGCGCCTGTAGTCCCAGCTACTTGGGAGGTTGAGGCAAGAGCATCACTTGGGCCCAGGAGTTTGAGGTTGCTGTGAGCTTTGATGCTACAGCACTCTACCGAGGGCCACAAGAGAAACTAGTCTCAAAAAAATAAAAAGGCTTGGCGCCTGTAGCTCAGCGGTTAAGGCACCAGCCACATACACCGGGGCTGGCGGGTTCCATTCTGGCCCAGGCCTGCCAAACAACAATGACAACTACAACAACAACAAAAAAGCCAGGCGCTGTGGCGGGTGCCTGTAGTCCCAGCTACTTGGGAGGCTGAGGCAAGAGAATCACTTAAGCCCAAGAGTTTGAGGTTTCTGTGAGCT